CTTCTATTTATATAATTATTTTACCGATTTTCATTGGTCCGAACCGAGGGTAACCAAGATACCGTTGACTCGCGCATGCGCAAATGCGTTGTTTATGCGTGTTTACCGGATCATGGTTCTGTGTACAGAACGAAAGCATCAGCATATTTTGATTTTAAAATACACGTTTACAACCTTACCCATTCGGTAAAAGCCAGAAATTCAAGGTAAGTATACTAAAAAAATGACCTTAATTTAGCAACATGCAATCGGTGATAGTTGAAATTATTCAGTTCGGACGTCAGTACTGTCACTGTGTTGCCTTGATGATTGATCGTGCGTGTGGATTGTTTGTGAGTTTATGTTTAGCTTATGCCTTATGCGGAGAATTACATAAGTTTCTACTATTAGTCTTTATATTTACCAATCAAGTGAATTGTTACATTATATGAATCCTAAGCCTATTTATTTATAGTTGTCTAACAAAACAACATTGATAAATAATCGAGTAGTTCAAAGTAATAGCATAGGCTAAGACTAAGGCTAGGACTAAAACAACAATGTAACAACGCAATATGCCGTAATACTACTATAATTATGGCATGGTATTAGCATTGGCAGTATGGGGAAAATAATTCGTATTAGAATCTTTTAACTCAAATAGTTTAATCTTAGCCTTATTCATTTTTTTTATCTGCATACAATTATTAATAGTAATAGCTAATTAGTTTTATATTATTTCTTATTTATAAGATCAGTTCAATTGACTAATAATAGTAATTATAATAAAATAAGTATTTAGTTTAGCAATCCTAAACATCTAAATAATACTAATAGGCTTATTGAGATCATTTTCAATATATTATTTGCTAAATAATGTTTATATAATTTTTTAATTCCATTCCAGCCCCCAATTAGTTCTACCGAGCCGAGCAAAAGTTAATTCTTCAGTGACAAGAATTCTACAGAGGGACTGTTAAACATTGATTTGAAATGATCATAATTCAAAGCTTTTACCAATTTTCTTCTGTCTGCAGTGGAATGGACGAATTGCAGAAGCCATAACTTACAGCTGATTGCAAAACAAAATAGTAAATACTATGAACATAACAATGACTAGATTGTGAGTGGTTAGATTGTTCATATCAACAACTGGATAACCAAGTCATTATCAATTATAGACTCTAAGGCCTGAAGGACAATGGCATGGACTATGAAAAGTTGCAATCTATGATATCTGCGATAAACAATCCAGCTGCACCGCAAAATTTATAACCTGCGCAAAGTATAAAAACTGCGCTATGCCGAAGACATGAAACATTTATGAGCAAGTATCTTCCCAATTATTACATTTCTAATAGACAAATAACTCATTCACCTCTGGTATGAGGGACATCTTTGATGAAAGAAGTACACAGAATAGGTACAAAAGTTTCAACATAGCATTGCTGCCATGAAACTATGCTT